CCTCAATTTACACTTCATACATGTATTTTTGCTTCTAGCTTTAAAGGGATCGAAGGCAATTGGTCATGTTTATTCGAAAACCTTTCATCCGACTTGGCACCATAGTGCACAAATATAAGTTTCCCAAACCAAATCAATGGCCAGGTTACGGTTGCTACTGCTGCAACATCTTAACACTTACATTTGCATGCGCAAGTAGGCACACTCGGCGTTTGAACAGTCTCTTCAGCCATACAAATTCCCATGTTTTGCTTTCTTATTTGAAAGAAAAAAGAACTGGAAATGAAAAGTTCCTGAACTTCTGTGTTTGTGGTTCCTATATTTGGAGAGGGGACTGAGGAAAGGGGCTGGACAACTTAAAATCAGCTAGCAATTCTGAAATCTCAGGGCTCACCAAACACTTGATACTTCATCAAATGGAACTTTTATAGCATAGGCTTTGATTACAATTGGCAAAAACCAGCACAAGAGGCAACATGATTATGAAAATGAAAAGCACAGTAATTCTAATCCGTGTCAAAGCTTAATAGCTATAGGATCATTCCTACCTTCATACTCTGAATGTTCTTTAGCATAACATCTCCGATTCTTTGGTAATCTCCTTTAATGTGAGCATTAGAGCGGCCTTCCCTGTCAGCAACAGAAATATCGCACACTTCAGTCATGCAATAAAACCACATAATCGCTTATAAGCACAGAAAGGAGCTCGGTAGCTCATCTCTTTTAAAGTCCCAACCCCTGTGCTCCTTCGCTTGGGAGCGTGTGAGGAATCTTCCTGACAGACACGTAATTCCCAGGTATGGTGCGCCCTTCACCCAGCCTGGCTTGCACCCCGAACAACAGAGAGGGCAGGCACTTAACACAAGGATTAGACCTTTACAGAAAATTGGTGACATTTTTAAACACACCAGAGAAGGCTGGGAATGGCTCGAGAAAAAGGAAGACATCAGAATCCCACGACAATACATGGCCTTAGAGAAGAAGGATAATTCTGTTCAGAAGCAAGGACTGCCCCCTGAAACAGGGCCTGCAGGTCTGAAAAGCTTTCTGCTTGTGCAAGGGACAGCAGGACAAAAAAAAAAAAAAAATAATCT